GGGTGGGTTTCCGGGGGGGCTTCCTCCGCTGCCCGCTCACCTCCGAGATCAGCACGAGAACAAGCGGGAGAAGCAATCTGAAGGCCACCTTCATGGTCCAGACGTTTCCCTGAGGGAGGCAACGAGAAGAGGTGGGTTAGGAAGCACCCGTTTCAGGTACCGCAGCAGCTCCCATCTCCCCCATTGCCGACAGGAGGAGTTTACCCCACATCCCTCCCAGTAACCTGCTATTTTCCCTCTTTCCTCCTTGGAAATTATCTTTAAATAAGATAGAGCATGAGTCACTGAGATCTCCTCTCTTTATGCCACGGGGTGTGTGTGTGTGTGTTGGGTTTTTCCACTCAATTTGGGGTTTATTCTCATTTCACCCCCAACACTGCCCCACAAAACCTGCCCCTCCCAGGAGCCACTGGGCCCTCTCCCTGACTGCTCCTTCAGAGACCTTGATGGATTAGGCTTAATTTTACACTTGAGCCAAAAAAAATCAATGATTCAGTAGCAAATTGGCTGAGCAACGGTACCGGGAGGCCAGCAGCAGTTAGCGGGGCAGTGAAGATGGATGGCCCTGTGCTCAGGGACGAGGCTTTAAGGCAGGACAGCCCATTTTTGAGGCTGTGCGATAGAAAGGCCATTTGCAAGATTACGCATGGGCAATACCAAAAGTGTGTGGCTACACAGCTCCCCATGCTGCCCAAATAACTGATCCATCACCTCCAGTCCCACTGCAGGGTGCTGGACTGGGATGGTTATTTGAGGAGAGACCCAGTGGGAGATCTGGAGGGATCTAGCAAAAGAGTTTCTCCTGGGCACCAGCCTTACACACACCACCTCTCCCTCTTTTTTGGGTCATTTTCAAGACCATGAATGCTCCCGTCCCATCCCTGCTGGCGGGAACAGCAGAGGCTGTTGCTGGTAGCTCTGGTTGCTGGTAGCTCCCCAGCTGATGTCTTGGAGGACGGAGGGATCTAGCTCATCGCTGATGAGCTCCCCAGAAAGCCCTGTGCAGAAGGGGCTTTGAATGCTCAAACATCCCCCAGGGCCAGCTGGAGCAGAGCAGGCTGTGGGCAGATCCCTCGGGGTGTTCGCCAAGGCATTTCCCGGCAGCATTTGTCACCCCAGCAGGAGCAGAGCGGAGCTGGGTGCACGGCGAGGCAGATGGAGGAGCTCGGCAGAGGCAGGGTGGGAGAGAGAACCGAGTGAGATGAGACAGGGAGGAAGACGAGGAGGAAGACGAGGAGGAAGATGGATCTCCTGGGGAAACCGAGTGTCTGCTGTGGAGCTGGTGATGCTGGGGAGAAATCAGGCTCTCACGGCTGATCGCTTTCTCCCATGCAACACCATGGAGCTGAGCTCAAAGCTTGCTGGTGCACAGTGCTGCTGTCATGCCTGAGGGGTCATTGGCATTGGGGTGTCACTGGCAAAGAGGGGGTCACTGGCAATGGGGGGTCTTGGGCAATGCCACCAGCTCAGCAGGGTCGATGGGAGCTGCAAACAGGCAGGGCTGAGCTGGGCCCATCGCATTCATCTTCGGGAAGCAGCAGAAAAGTGTCCCCAGCGTCCCCAACCAGCACAGACCAACACCTACCCTCTTCTGCTCACAGCTTCCCACCAGGGTCCACATCCCACCCAGTGCTCCCAGCCCGGCTCCCTTTGAAGCGCTGCCACACATTCCTGGGGCTCCAAGTAATTGACTTTCTCCAAGAAAAGATCCTGTTCTCACTCCCTTCCCAGCCCAGGCTGTTACTTTCCTTTTTGTCTTGTTCCGCTCCCATCTGGCTCTGTTTAACCCCCCCAAGCCTCCCATGCCGGCTGTTTTCAATCAGAGCTCTGGCACTTCGCAGGGGGAAGGGAGGAACAGGGAAAAGAGCAACGGGGCCCGAATGCTGCCAGAAACTCAGCTCCACGGTGCTGCGGTACGGCCCCTTTGGGGGTGTACGTGCGTGCTTCTGTGTTGTAAGGGTTCAGATACAGTGGTGGGCTGCAGAGCACGGGCAAATTCGTGACACGGAGCTGCTCTACGTGCAGTTCCCTCCCCGGCCCCACAGCACCCCCATCCTATCCCAGCCACGTCCCTCCCTGCACGTGGCTCACCCCCACCTTGTCCCAGACATTTCCATGGGATTTTGCCTCTGCTCCAGAACTCAGACCTGGATTTTAACACCCGCAACGCCCGAGGGAGCTGAGGTCTGCATTTGGCCCATTGCAGAGAGGAGGAGGCTGCTGGGACGTGATATTCCAGCCAGGACACGCTGCGATTCGGGTGTTCAGCTCCCTCTGCTTGGGCCACCCAGCAGCCGCCCTGGGCAATGTCACAGGGAGGGTGGGGGACAGGGCAGAGCTGTCGCCCCATCTGGAAGCTGGCTGAGCTCTCAGCCCTTCCAGGAACAACCCAGCCCTGCACAGCCTGCGCCATCCCCTCTGTGTGAGGCTTTAACGCCGCAGATGTTTGGGGACCCGGCATGTAGCAGAAATAAGTCAGTGAGCCAAAAATTCAGGCTGGAGAGCGGCAGCATCATGTGGCACTTGTCAGCACAGAAGGAAAGTGTCAGAGGCAGATGCAGCCCCTTCCACCCGCTGCCACATCCCCATGGGGACTCCCCCAGCCCATTGCAGCCAGGCAGAACCCCTGCTGCCATGGTCCTTCTCCACCTTTGGACCCCATCAGCATGTCCTTGCTCCCCCCGAGTCTCTGCCCCCCGTGCCCCAGCGTGCTCAGGGACAGCAGGACCCACTTCCAAGCAACCTGCAGGAAACCAGCTCACAGCCAGCAGTCCCTGCAGCAGCCCTGCATCCAGAATAGCATCCTCAACACAGCCACGGCCGGGCTTTTTGCAACATCCCTGAGGACACCACAAGCTTTACAATCGCCTCCGACACGCTGGAAGGTTCAAAGCCAGCGCTCCCTGGACCCGACACAGTCGGCAGCCTGTTCTCCATCCAGTTTCATGCAGTTGAATTTACTGGCATGAACGCAAAGAGCTAGATTTCAAAATCCCACACCCTGCTGCTGCACGAGCCCCAGCCGCCGGATCCACAGCCAGGGCCACGGCACAGCGCCTGCTCTGCAAATGCCTCCGCTTTCGACCTTTCCCACCACTCCTCAACCGATCCCGCATACCCACAAGGCATCCATGCAACTGGAATAAAGTTTAATCATGAAGCAATGCATCTGTTCAGGAAACCAACTGCCTGGTGTGGAGAAACGGCTTGATTAATGGATGAAACCAGTCCTGACACCTCCTGAGCTTGGCCTGGGTGCAAGACCAAGGCACCCAACAGATGCCAGCCCTGTTTTATCTCCCAGAAAGACGCAGCTGCTCCCTCAGACATCCCATTACAACTGACAGAAATCTGCCACAACAGCTGGAAATTCCAGCCCCAAATGCCACTGGTGTTTGCTTTCCAAATCTTCGCTGCGTCTCCCTAACCCACAGCTCCCAACTGGTGCCAAGGGCAGGCAAAACCCACAGCCCCCAGGGCAAGAGTGAGCGATGTAAAGGTCACGAGGGAATTTGTCATGGGGGGATTTGTCACGGGAGGAATTATCACAGAGGGAATTGTCACAGTCCCTTGGGTGCCTCCTGCCCTCCCCACCTCCTCTTGCAGCACCCAGACTGATGCATCACCCGTGTACTTGGACCCCTGCTTCTGAAGAGGGGCTGGGGGGGATAAAGGGAGCTTTTAACTTCGGGAAAGGAGGGGAAAGCCTGGATGGTTGGGACAGGGATCCTTTCTAGCCCCTCACCCATCACCCTGCTAGCTTCCTTCACAGCTTTCCCATCAGGACCCTCCAATTCCCACCATCCCTGCAGCCTCCAGGCTGGAAAATGCCCCCACCCAGCCTGGGAACCTGCATTTTGGAGCAGAACAAGGAGGGCAAACTAAAAACAAATGAAAGGAGCCAGCAAAGCTCCCTCGAAGGCTTCCCTGGCGTCCAACACTGCAACTCTGCAAGAGCCTGGGTCTGATCAGCTGTAACCCAAACAGGGACCTCTTTATCCAGCGGCGCTGGAGAGCTGGGAATGGTGGAAATGGGCTAAATACAACACGATCCTGTCCTCCGAGGGGAAGGCGGCCACTCTGTCACCCCGGCGTCCCCAGGGGAGCTGAACCCTGATGCAACAACTCCATCTCCTCGTCTTTTCCCAGCGCGGAGCAGAGCCGCAGGCTCTCCCGAGCGTTTCTTCTTGCGGGGACAGCGCTGTGCCCATGCAGGGAACGGGTGTTTCGGGGGACCCCTCTGGAGAGCAGCTCGGACACGCTCCCGGGCTCTCCAGCAACATTCTGGGGCTCAGCCTGAGGACTGTGAGACACAGGGATGGCAACGCACACCCCGCGGCGCGCCAGGAGCGTTTCCTCGCTGTACCACAGTCACAGACTCATTGCAAAAGGCTCCCGCCCGCAGCAGGGGCCGTGGGAAGGCAGCCCTGGCAGAAAACACCTTTCTGCCGCCTTCTCCCCGTCAGCAATTCTTCCTTCCTCCTCCTCCTCCTCATCCTCCTCCTCCCTCGCTGCATGTCCCGACCCTTCCCGGGGCTGCTCCCGGCTCAGCCCGCCCGCAGATCCCTCTGCCACACACAGCGGGACCGGCTGGACGCAGACAAAAGCAAATCCTGGCAGAAAAATGCTGCCAAAGCGACCGCAGCCCGGCCCCCCCGCACCCCCTGCTCCCCCCAAGCAGATACTTCGCCTTGGCCCCCCCGGCTCTGCTTCCTAAGGGTGGGAAACCGATCTGATGCCTCATCCCTCCCCTCCAGCCACTTCCCCATGGCAGCGGAAACCTCCCCCAGCTGCACTTTTATCTCTTCCCAGGTGAAAACTCAGCCCCATCGCTCCCCACTTCTCCGGGGGGAGCAGGGACACCCAGCACCCGGCGTTTCTGCTCCGCACCGCCTGTCCCAGGAAAAGGATGCATCCCGGGGGCCGCTTGTGGGATGCCATCAGCCCAGCACCACATAAGGCAGGCCCAGGATCGCCAGCTCCCAGGAAAGTTTCCAAGCCCGCATGTGCGACATGCTTTTGCGTTCAGCTGCCAAGGGGATGAATTCCCACTTTCTGCCCTGTAAATGCCTTTCCTAAAACTCTCAGACAGACAGAGAAGGGGATGAG